GAGATTGACTGCTAACCAAGTCTGGTTCTCGTAGGGGTTCGCGAACCTTCAAGCCCGTCTGGAACGCATGGCACAAGCTTTGCGGCCATTGTTCGTCACTGTCACCTGGGGTGCTGGAGGTACCACTGCACAAAGGTCTCTGGAGCTGGCGGAAATCTGCCAGCGCCAGTTGCAATTGACAACATGTTTACACCTTACCTGCACCAACATGAGTCGGGCCTTGGTAGATGAGGCGCTAGAAGAGGCCAAGGTATTGGGAATCCGCAATATTCTGGCTCTTCGGGGCGATCCGCCGCGTAGTGAGGAATACAACATGCATGGAGAAGACGATAGCAACAGGGACTTTACATTTGCGGTGGACCTGGTGCGGTACATTCGCCAAAAGTATGGTGATTACTTTTGTCTAGGTGTGGCTGCCTACCCAGAAGGTCATCCAGTCGATTCTTTCCAAGACGTCCAGGACCCCAAGACAGACCTTCCATATCTGGTAGAGAAGACTCAGGCGGGTGCGGACTTCATAATGACTCAGTTGACATATGATATTGAGGCATACACTAAGTTTGAGAATATGCTACGGAACCATGAATCCGGCGCATTCAAGACCATCCCTATCATTCCTGGCTTGATGCCAATCCACAGCTACAAGATCTTGACGAGGGTGACAAAACTCAGCCATGTCCAAATTCCGCCTCAGATACTCTCGAAGCTAGAAGAAGTTAAACACGACGACGATTCTGTGAAGCGCATTGGTGTAGATATTATCACCAATCTTGTGGATGGCATGAGGGATATCCCCTGTCCTGGACTACGAGGATTTCACTTTTATACACTGAATCTTGAAAAGACGGTGTCTTTCATCCTTGAACGCTGTGACCTTATCCCTCCTTATTCTGAAGACTTTGACGCAATAGAAGATGGTGGTGATATCTCTGCCATGGACGGGGCTCAACTACGCTCTCTAACCAGGAGAAGGGCTTCGTCTATTAATTCCCTTCCCCATAACCGGGTCATTGTAGACAAACTACAAGCTTCTGAAGGGTCATCAAAAGCCTCCGTTTCTCATGAAGCCCCTGCTACTAGTGCTGGAATGCCTGCGATGCCACCAGATCGCAGTACAACCCTTCAGATCTCCGAAGGCCTAGGTGCACTTGGTAGGGAGGCTACGTGGGATGACTTCCCCAACGGTCGCTGGGGTGACGCTCGTTCGCCAGCATTCGGTGAGATTGATGGCTATGGTCCATCATTACACGTTCCTCCTTCGGTTGCACACAGAATCTGGGGTTTCCCTGTGTCGCGTGAGGACATCAGCGCTCTCTTCCACCGCCACGTCTCGGGTGAACTGCATATGGTTCCATGGTCAGAAGGCGGTGCCGAAGAAGGTAGTTCTGGCTTGAACGCAGAAACAGAAGTCATTCGCCCGGAACTTCTGCAGCTCATTGATGGTAATGGCTGGTGGACTCTGGCATCTCAGCCAGCTGTGAACGGCGTTCGTAGCGATGACCCTATTTACGGCTGGGGCCCCCCTCGCGAAGGATTCGTTTTCCAGAAACCATTCGTTGAGTTTTTCTGTCCCAGCAAAGACTACCACTCAATACTTAAACCACTACTTCAGAAGCACGGTCATGAGAAACTTGCCTGGTTCGCCGCCAACGGTAAGGGTGACTTCGAATCGTCTCTGCCAGCCCAAACCTCCGACGCTGATCCCATTGAAATGAACCCGAACAACGTCAATACTGTGACATGGGGTGTCTTTCGTGGAAAAGAAATCGTCACCCCCACTATCATTGAGGAGGTGAGTTTCCGCGCCTGGGGTGAAGAGGCGTTTCGGATCTGGGATGAATGGCGCCGCATCTACCCCCGTAACTCTGCAACCGAACGCTTCCTCAATGAAACCAAGGACGATGTCTGGCTCGTCTGCGTTGTCGGACAGGATTTCGGAGCGGGCACCGAGATGGGATCGGAGGAAGAGGAAGATGAGAAGAAATTTATGTGGAGGGTCCTATTGAACGCAAAATAAGCAGCGCGCTGGCTTTTCTTAGTCCCGATTACTGAAAAGTATAAAAACGCGACAAGGAACCATGCGTATCATCATTCCCATGTTCATATTTGCTTTATTGCATCACGATCTTATGATCAATTATAATCACGTTGTAGTTATTGAACGACAGTCTAGTCTCTAGAGATCTTATATCTAGCTGGAATGCATCATTGTGGGGCACATTTGCTTGCTTTAAACAGTATCGATCCCCGAGAATCAAGACTATGAGAGGCAGAAACAAAACCGAAGGTGAACACCACATACGCCTCAGCACCAAATTCGTGTCAGTAATGTTAGTTATAGAATTCATATATACTATAGGAACCAAGTTTAGGAAGACAACTTCTTGGCAAACCCATGTTCCTCGAGCCCCTCGGCCCCCGTGTCCGGGGTAGCGACGGAGGATTGCGATTCGGCAAACTTTTCTATGATGTCCAAGCGACCATATGCGCGAGCGTTGCGGCGAGGTTCATTTGGCCCCCTGCTTGGGGCCTGGTAGCCACGGACTCTGTGAAAAGATCGTGTCAGCGGTGTTATGTTGAAACGTGTATGAAGAGAAAGGAAGAGCTCGCTTACCTTGGGCCCTCGCCTGTTTTTTCAGGTAGTTGAGGGGCATAGGTACGTTGGAATTTTTGAACGTCTGATTCGAAAGTACCTTGTTGGATACTTTCTCTGATTTTTGCGAAGAAACTATCCATCGTGTGGAGATTGTGGAGTTGGAGGAGAGACCAAGCCAGCATTTCCTTCGCAGAGAGAAGATGGTGGATATATGCGCGATGATGATTTCGGCACGTGTAGCACTGGCATGCTTCTTTGAGCGGCGCTGTGTCTGTTGTGAAAGTGGGCGCCCATAGATTAAGTGCTAACGGTTTGGGTTCTGTGGCAGGCGTGTCATGGGCATCAGATGGTGGCGGGAAGACAAAGTCCAAGGCCATGCCAGCATCCGAGGTGTCACCCAGGAAAGGAATTGTTAGGAGGTCAGCGCCAAGGGAGACTTCACGCAAAATGTCATGCGGAGTAGCTGGCTCACTGAAAAGCAACCGGGGAAGATCTCCTAAAGATTCGGGAACGACAGACAGCGATGCCGACTCATACAATGCAAGACCGGAAATGTACCGTCGGAGTTCGTCTTCCAGGTCTTCCAAATACAGTGTCTGCTGCGCATTGTCCAATGGGAGTATGGGAGCAAAGTACGCCGTCTTCGAGCGATTCCCCTCTGAGACCGCATCTCCATAAAGCTGCTCCGTAGAATACGTAGTGAACGCATGAGTCCTGTCCACCATCTTCCCTTGTCTCTTCGACCCAGGCCGATGGGTCAAGACCAAATCGGCTAAGCCTACCGCAATATCTGGACGTAATCTCTGCACGGCTTCGACATACTGACCAGTCTCCAGTTGTGCGAAACCAACGGTTGTGAGCACAGCAACCGAGTTTGGCGTATTCGATGCGGGACATACGAGCGGAGGCACGCGACGTGGGCCCAAAACCAGCACAGGATCTTCGGGGAGGCAAACAAAGTTGCGCAGAGGCGACTCATTCGGCGCAGCTGGCGTCTTGTAGACCGGTGGGCATCCTTTCTTCTGCAGCTTTTCTATGACTGATCTTTAACTGTCAGCGCCTTGCGTGCTTCGTAACTTCCAGGATCTCTCAAGTGGGGGACATGATCGAATACATACAATCTTCTAGACCAAAATATAGACCGCTAATAGCAGTCTGCTCGCGCATGACATCGTGCGCAAGATGGGGGACAGCTCCCCGCGACGTCAATGGGATGTAGTGCGGCGTAAGGATAGCATTTCTGCCCGCGATTGCCAGCTTGCCTAATCGCGGGGCCAAGGTTGACGCAGTAGCAGAATTCAAAAGACTAAAATTGACCATATCATTGGGAGGCCGTTGCGAAGCATCAGAACCCATGGCGGTCACCGGAGAAATTTGAGACTGGTGCAGTGCTGATCTGCTGATTGTCGGGGAAAAGAAATTAATTGATTTGGCCAAAAGAGGGAAGTGGGATGCCTGAAAATACAGACCGATAATTCAATGAATAAATCGTGTCTCCGGCCTTCACACTCCGCATTGTCAGTTCTTCCTCTTTAACCAACATTTTATTTTTCTTTTTTAAACGGGATACTTTAGATCCTCTTCCAACTCCATAATTTACTTTCATATTGAACTATTACAACTATTATTATTATCCATACACCCATGTCAGACGATACAAATCGCGGAGAAACACGCGGGGCTCTCATTGTTGTCGAGGGCTTGGACCGAGCTGGAAAGTCAAGCCAGTGCGAGAACCTGCGCGACTACCTGCAAGAGTCAGGCCACTCAGTAAAATATGTTCGGTTTCCAGGTATCTCTCGCAGCAAGATCTCTTCGGTCATGCGGACAACACTCTAATTTAGTTCCTTACCAGACCGCACCACGGCCATTGGCAAACTAATTGATAGCTATTTACGTGGCCAGTCACAGTTGGACGACCACTCAATTCATCTCCTCTTCTCTGCCAACCGTTGGGAGATTGCCAAGGTTATTGAAGAAGACATAGCCAAAGGGATTACTGTGATTGTGGATCGTTACTCATACTCCGGTGCCGTGTACTCTGCCGCAAAGGGAATCCCAACTTTATCTCTTGGTTGGGCGTGGCAGCCAGAAATCGGATTGCCCCGGCCAGATATGTGCCTTTTCCTTCATATCTCCCCTACAGAGGCCGCAAAGCGGGGAGGATTTGGCGTGGAGCGGTATGAGAACGAAACCATGCAGAGCCGTGTGCGCGAGCTCTTCCAGACTTTATTTGACCTGCAACCCAACGGCGACATCTACGTTGTAAATGCAGGAAGATCATTCCAAGAAGTATCAGAAGAGATTCGGGGCAAAGCAACTGACTGTATAGCACGGGTTGGGGTTATTGGGCCTTTGCGAAAGTTTGACTCAGTTGCAGCTTGATTCGGACTCAATTGACTGAAGGCGAATCACCGGGCGCTTTTATCCTGTATTATCACAATCGCTATCCTCAATGACTATTTCGACTCTTGTGGACATTGCAGGATGGCTTTTCGACCAATCGCCGATCTCATGGTCCGATTCTAGGGCCGGCGACTCATACCAGTCATCTTCTAAAGAGATGTCGTCGTGTGTACTCTCATCAAAGGCATCGTTCGGCCCTTTCATTGAGGCATCAACTGACTCAGAAAAGTCACAGTATTCTGCAGTAACTGTCCTCACATCATCAGTGTCCTCTCTCGGAACATTATTTATGCTGAAGTCCCCTCGTTTATTTTTCCTCAAAATAGTCTGCAGTTCCTTTCCTCCTCGGGTCCGGAAACTCAGCTCCTGCATCATCAGTGACCATTGGACAGTTTTGTGGCATCCGGGACATGTTCCAGATATAGGGACGAGTCTTCCTCGCTCTTTAGTAGAATCTAAGAACCTAGCCGATAGACATAATAAATGACTTACGCAGTAACAGCGCATCTGAGGACAGATGACTATCAGCTCTTTCTTTGGGACAACAGGTGTTTGGCAAACTTTGCACTGCAAGTCTTCTGGATCGTCCAGTTGAAACGCTGTCTTTTCCACGTAATCACGTATCTTACTATAGTCAACCTGAATGTGTTCGACGCTACCAACTCTCGCGTATTCAATATCAGGCTGCTTATTTTCGACGCAGCTACCATCTGGGATAACTTTGATATGCTCTGGAATGACACCATCTACGCGATCACTCCAGACCCTCCACAGTTGGTGAACGTCGTCAGCAAAGAATCGTACTCGGAGGGGCAGACTGGAGAAGTATGTCGATCGTAGCAAAGCGTGCAGATTCTCCAAGTGCCCTTTCAAGGACCTCGCCGAGCCACGAGGTCGGGTTTTACCCATCCCTCGAGCAGATTCCATACTATCTTCACCAAAGCCTAGATGACGAGATTTGCCCGGTTTTTGCCATGCCCACCTGCGAAGACGTTAGATATCTAGTCCAGGCTAAGGATAAAAAAGACTAAATTGTATATATAGCACTGACTCAAGAATCACGTGCTTGGGACAGAAAAGAGGGGCGTTGAACAAGATGACGAATGGACTCCACGTACTCAAACTGCAGGGCAGCAGTCCGACTCATAAAGCTTTCTACAATGAGCACCATTTCCCAAGGTCTCTTGTCATTTGCGGTCTTACGTGCTCCTCCTTTTGACACACCATTATGTTGCGCGAGCCGTCTAGATGGGTGAGGAGTAGAGCCAATGTACAGAGAAGTTTGCCGAACGGTTGATCGGAGAAGATAACAGCAATAAAAGGCCGGTATCGGTTTTGTAGGAACGTCGTCTACACCAGCCATGGCGCTTGGAGGACTCAGGTGTGTTAAAGTCTTACCATGAGTTGGTTGTGTTAAAAAATTGTTGAATTGTGTCAGTAGGTGTTTGCTTCTTTGACTGTGTGCATTGGAAAATGGTGATAATAATCTCAGGGTAAAGCTGCACTTGTTGTTATTGTAGGATATATATCCTGATCACATGATACAAGTGTCATAAGCAGCACATATTGTTGAATATTGCTTTTCAAGTTGTCTTTTCTGAGAGAAAGATTACTTCCTGTATTTATGCAATGTAACATTACACCAACCCCACGTCCCACATCGAGGCAACTGAACCATGGAAATCTGTACTTGTGTCAAAGCAGGGAATCGAGTTTCATGCCTCAGGCATATTTTTACTGGGATCATATGATCTCACTAAGCGGTACACAGTACTAATAAGTTCTGGGGGTTAGTACGGAGCACTCTGTAGTGAATATTAATTTCAGCCTCCTCAGGAATACAACCGGAAGGGGTATTGCAGTATTGCATGATTCACAATGTCAGCACAACAGAACAAGGGGTCAACGTACTTAGTAGATAATCCAGACGACCATTAAAAAAATTCTAAAAAATGAGAAAGGTCGACTATACAAACTATAGGATTTGGGTAGAACTTTGAGAGTAAAATAAACATTTGTATGTATGTACATACAGAATACATATACAGGTTACGAGTACGGAGTAGTATGGGGGTCAATAAGATGGCCTATTATTTATTGGAAAATAGTCTGTCCATTCTCGATAGGCGTGGGTTCTCCCCGTGGAAAATCACTCGCATACCTCACTACTCTGTTCTAAGATACTAGACAAACACAAAGCCGACGCGGTGGATTTGCTATAAACCCGATCTAGTCCGAAAGCAATCCACCTGTAAAATTACGGGCTCATGTGATATGAAAAATAGCGTACCCTGCATGACGACCACCACCATGGACCAGTGAAAAAGGACGCTTATCAGGGCACAAATCCGCTAGACAAGCTCCGAGTGTTCCTCAGAAGCATTTGAAGTCAGAATATGTCTCATTATCATTTTAGGATCATTGCTATTGTGGTCGGTTCCGGACCATGGTTGACGTGTCATAATTGACTGTTTCATGTCCCCCATACACCACTACTTACTACCTAGGGCCCAGGGACCTACCGGGAAAATCCTTTTCTCCTGGAGATTGACTCGGGTTTACGGAGAAGTTTCTGCATATCTCGTGAGCTAGTCTGTATTGTTTGTGGGCAGATAAGTTAATCTTCTCATGGGCACGACCTAGTGATATTAGTCGAGTTCAGTCCGACCTGTGGTTGAAACTAAGTAGTGGACAGCCGGATAGCCTGCGGTAATAATTACCAACCTCATACGTCTCCTGCGTTACAGTATGTACCAATGGAGAGAAAGCTTTCCGTCAAGCCGATGTGGGCAGTTATTCCCCCCTCCTACGGTGCGAATCTCTTCTCAGTTGGACCTGCAAAGATGCTTGGTAGAGTGATTTTCGCTGAATGAATTCTATGTTCGCTTTTCAACTATTGTAACTAGCGTAGGAAATGCAATAGATGTTTTTCATATTGCCCGTGACGAAGCTGAAGCTACGTGCAATCTCCAATTTTGGCAATATCTCGTCACATCTCACCGTTTGCGGCCAGCAAATATCTTTCGATACCGTAATACGGAGAACCTGATATTACGGTTCAAGGGTTTTCGCTACCAGCCCCAGAAGTAAAGTAGTAGTAGCGAAGCAATTGCAATACAAATCATGGATCGAAGCCTAGGTATAACCTTTTCTATTTTTTTTTTTCTTCTTTTTTTTAACATGCTTTCCAACCCCCCCCTTCCATTAGTTTGGCATCCCTTTCGATGGTGCTTTCCTTCTATCTTCTGAAAACAAACAAAAAAAAAAAAAGAGACTTCCTTCCAAAGGTCGATCCACCCACTTGTATACCCTCTATAGCACTAGTCGACGGAGGAGCTGACCTGAACCGGCAGTTTAGTACTACTACTACTACTTAGTACCTAGGTAGGTGTGCATCTCATTCCTACACATACACTAGACGCTATCGAATAACTTCCCGTCCGTAAGTACCTTACCGAACCTAACCTGAGGTACAACTAACTTGACATGAGTGACTAGTCGGATTACTTACCTAACCAACCACCTGCCCTACTTTACCTTTACACAATTCAACACTAACCCATCGATCTACGATCATTCCTCCAATCGTTACAGGTTGCTAACTCACAATTACACGCATAGCTCCTCCTCTCTATCAACAACCGAATTGCTACCTAGGATTACTTTCCTGCGCTGACCTGCCCTTGGTCTGGTGGCACACGCTACCGGTTCTTGACCCTCTTCCGAGATTCTCCACACTCTTTGTCCTCCCGGGCTCATCTCGGCCGTGCCTAGGACATCTACTTTATCCTCCCCATCATCAACTTGCTCCCCCGGCGTGCCTTATATATAGCCGCTGCCCTTACTACTTCCCTCAATCGGTCGGCTCACTTGCTTTAACCTCCGTATCTGTCCACTTCTCAACGGTTGTCCTTTCTCTCATGTGCCTTTCGCATCGGATGACTGCCCCCTTCCATCTGCGATAAGACACGCGCAATTTTCTTCCGCCCACGATCAGACCGTCGCATATAAGAAATGGTGGCTCCGGCCTCGACGGGAGGCAACTCGACTGGCGGACAGCCTTCGGCGAGCCGTCAACCCACCCGATCCTCTAGCACTCACCCGTCGCATTCTCACAATGTACCCTTAAGTGCTCGACGGTCTACGCCTCTTGACTTGTCCACGGTTGAGCGACGGGGACAACCCAATGCCCCTCGAGAGCCAAGTAAACGTATCCGACCTCACGGTTTACAAGAGGCCCCTACGTTTCGCCCGACTGAGGAGGAATTCAAGGACCCGGAAAAGTACATCCGCAAGATAGCGCCCGAAGGCAAGAAATATGGAATTTGCAGGATTATTCCACCAGAAGGCTGGCAACCGCCGTTTGCCATTGACACAGAGGTATGTACATGCGTTTGATGGTTTGTTGGCTTGCCATGGTACACCTCTAGGGCTGTCTATCAGCTCGGACAGAAATCCCTTTCTCACCTTTTGCCAATTTACAATAATATAAGTGAGGCATAGAGGCTGACAAACAGTCTTACAGCGATTCCACTTCAAAACCCGCCGGCAGGAGCTCAACTCGGTTGAAGGAGGTATGCCCCCGCGTTCAGCCACGTCTGCCGCCGGTGGTGCTCCGCAGCCCAGTTCTGACCCGGACCCAGGAACCCGAGCAAATCTAAATTACCTCGATCAGCTGGCCAAATTCCACAAACAACATGGAACGAATCTCAACCGTTTTCCGAGCGTCGATAAACGCCCTCTGGATTTGTATAAGTTGAAAAAGGCTGTCGAGGTTAGGGGTGGCTTTGACCAAGTGTGCAAGATGAAGAAGTGGGCTGAGATTGGCCGCGATCTTGGCTACAGTGGCAAGATCATGTCTTCACTTTCAACATCGCTGAAGAATTCCTATCAGCGATGGCTCCAGCCATACGAAGAGTACCTCCGCGTGGCTAAGCCCGGGGTGCAGCAACAACTGGAGCTGGAACATGGTGGCCCTTACACACCGTCGCCTCATCAGTCACCTATGGCTAAGAAGCCCATACCACTTGACAATGGCACGCCACACATGCTACCCAAGGGAACAATGAGTGTCCCGCCGTCCGCTCCGCAAAGCACTCCGAGGGAGGTTGAAGCAACCCCAGATAAACCAACACCTCCAATTGAGCCGACGCCTCCTCGGCCAGTAGCTTCTGGGTTTACGCCCGTGAATGCTAGTTCGGGATTTACTGCTGTCAACCGGTCACCATCATTTGTAGCAGTAAACAACAATCCGACCATAAAGCGTGAAATAGAGAATGGCTCTTTGACACCGAAAAGTGTCGCTGAGCATCCTTCGATCTCGACTCCTGTGTCTAATGGCCATGGCCATCACACAAAGCGCGCGATTAGCCACGAAAGTGGTTCTCAAACTGAGAATGGAGACGACCCGAACGGTCGGCGTAGTAAGCGTCTTCGCAAAGGTGTGTAAACATTATTGTCATCCATCATTGTATTCGACATCTAATGATTTCGTAGATGCGCCTTTACCTACAATTGCCGGTTCGCATATGAGTCTTCTTCGGCCCGCCCCGCCCCGGGCACGGAAGAGTGACGGCCGAAAGACGGGTGATGTAAGCTGATATCACGTTGCCGATCGTGTTTATAATGTGCTAACTGTACCTAGAAATGTGAGAATTGTGGCAAATCGGAAGATAGCTCCTCGATCTTGGTATGCGATAGTTGCGAGCAAGGATACCACAAGTACTGTCTTGATCCCCCTCTGACTATCATTCCCGAATACGATTGGCACTGCCCAAAATGCCTGGTAGGCACAGGGGAGTTTGGCTTCGAGGAAGGAGGAGTCTACTCGCTTAGACAGTTCCAAGAAAAGGCAAATAACTTCAAAAAGAGTTACTTCGCCTCAAAGATGCCATTTGATCCTGTCCTAAACGGCCATAGACGGGAGTCTGAGGACGACGTGGAACGCGAGTTCTGGAGATTGGTGGAGAGCCTGACAGAGACCGTTGAAGTAGAGTATGGTGCTGACATCCATTCGACTACTCACGGTAGTGGATTTCCTACTATTGAACGGAATCCTCTCGATCCTTATTCAGTTGACCCGTGGAACCTGAATGTTCTTCCTTTCCACGGGGACTCATTATTCCGCCACATCAAGTCGGACATCTCTGGCATGACAGTCCCCTGGGTTTATGTCGGCATGTGTTTCTCAACATTCTGCTGGCATAATGAAGACCATTACGCGTACTCGGCCAACTATCAACACTTCGGTGCCACAAAAACTTGGTATGGCATTCCTGGAGCTGATGCAGAAGCGTTCGAGGAAGCGATGCGGCAGGCAGTCCCTGAGCTTTTCGAGGGTCAGCCTGATCTTCTCTTCCAACTAGTTACCTTGATGCCGCCAGATCAGCTCAGAAAGGCTGGTGTCAACGTGTACGCGCTTGATCAACGAGCTGGGCAGTTCGTCATCACCTTTCCCCAAGCTTACCACGCAGGATTCAATCATGGCTTTAATTTTAATGAGGCTGTCAACTTTGCACCTGCAGACTGGGAACCTTGGGGTGCAATGGGTGTGGAACGTCTACAGGATTTCCGGCGACATCCTTGTTTTTCGCATGACGAATTACTTTTAACGGCAGCAGCTCGTGATACATCCATTACAACTGCCAAATGGTTGTCTCCGGCCCTTCAGCGGACCTGCACACGGGAGCTTTCTGAGCGCGCTGCATTTTTCTCCCGACATCGAGAGGTTACTCCGCACCATTGCACGCTTGGTTCCGAAGATGCCATGGACATTGGTGGTTGCCAGCTGAAGTTTGTAGTCGAAGATGAGGACCTACCTGAAGAAGATTACCAGTGCCAGTGGTGCAAAGCATATACTTATCTGACACAATTTCGCTGCCATAAAACTGGGAAAACCGTTTGTTTGTCGCATGTCGACACAAGTGTTTGTTGCGGAGAGCCACTAAAACAAAGGCAACTTGGGCCAGATCACACATTACGTTACCGATTTAGTGATGAGGCTCTGAAGGCCTTGGTGCAAAAAGTACAGGACCGTGCCAGGATCCCGGAAGCATGGGGTGAGAAGCTCGACAAGACATTGGAAGATGAGCCTAGGCCACAGTTGAAGGTCCTTCATAATCTATTGAGTGAAGGTGAGAAAATCCCATACCATTTGCCTGGTCTCCAAGATCTTGCGGCCTTCGTCCAGCGCTGCGATAAGTGGGTTGAAGAAGCAACCAACTATATTACCCGGAAGCAGCAAAACCGGAGAAAAAATGAGAAGGCTTGGCGCAGAAGTAGTTCTAAGGCCGCGCAGCTGGAAGAACGTGATCGTGAAGTTCGCAGAGTAGAAAATATCTACGCCCTTCTTGCAGAGGCTGATAAACTGTCGTTCGACTGTCCACAGATGGCTTCTCTGGAAGAGAAGACCCGCGAGATCGAGAAATTCCGCCAGGACGTTAACGTTGCCCTCATGAACCCCCACATTCGATCGGTCCAGGAAGTTGAAGATTTGGTGGAGTCCGCACGTAATTTTAATGTGGATATTCCCGAGGTTGAAGGACTGGAGCATGTTCTCCGGCAAATGAAATGGAACGAGGAAGCGCGTCGAAAGCGCGATCAGTACCTGACACTCAAGGACTGTCAAGAACTAATTCTGGCTGGTGAGCAGCTGGGTTTGTCGGACACCAACGATCATCTGCTCTATTTTAAGGATCTATGCCGCCATGGTGAGGCCTGGGAAGCTAAAGCCAAGGAATTGATGTCTGTAGAGGCTGTTCATTACCAGCAGCTGGAAGCCTTGTCTGCACAGGCTTCTCGTTTCCCTGTCTCCCCCGAGACGCTTTCTGCGGTAGATGCCATATTGACAAAACAGCGTGAAGCGCAGAAGAAAATCCAGTCTCTATATGAGAGAAGCAAGGACCCAGATTTCAGGAATCGGCCCAAGTACAAGGAAGTGCGCGAACTCATGGAGTCCCTTGAGGAGCTGAACAGCCGGCCAACTGGAGCCATTGACCTGGAACGTGAGCAGAAGCGCCATGAGGATTGGATGAGAAAAGGCAAGAAATTATTCGGAAAGGCAAATGCCCCGCTGCATATCTTGAAGTCGCATATGGAATATGTTGAAAAGAGGAACTCGTATTGTTTTGATTTGGAAGATCGCTGTCGACCCCCCGTCGAACCTTCTTCGCGAGATAACACCCCCGATGGTTTGTTAGACAATAGTAATATCACTCCTAGCATGTGGGGCGGTGGGAAATCACGGAAGCGAGACGTCTTCTGTATTTGCAGACACTCTGAAGCTGGAATGATGATTGAGTGTGAAGTCTGCCACGAGTGGTCAGTCTGCCCCTACTCCTCCCCCTTCAGTTAGTTAACACTATGGGCACTAACTAACCCTAAATAATAGGTATCACGGCAAGTGCCTAAAGATTGCAAGGGGCAAAGTCAAGGAGTTCGATAAGTATACCTGCCCTATCTGCGATTGGCGCCAAAAAATACCCCGAGATGCGGCTCGTCCAAAGCTAGAAGATCTCCTAGACTGGCAGGCCGAGATCGCAGGCTTGCCTTTCCAGCCTGATGAGGAACAAACCTTGGACAACATCATCAATCAAGCAGTTGGGTTTCGAGATTTTCTCCATGGCTTCACCAACGCCGCATGCACCACTACCGAGGAGGTTCCCACATTGATATTCTATCTCCGAAAGATAGAAGGTGCGGAGGTCTTGTTGGCATACGAAACCAACTTCTTCCGACAAGAGATCCATAAATGGGCTCCGGTAGCACCAGAACCGCCTCCGATCTTGGAACAGTCTCTTTCGACTCGTAAGCCACGTCCAACCAAACAGCAGAAGATTATGGCACAGCTCGGCGTTGACCGCCCCGAAGATCTTCCTCCTCATTTGCGTACAAAGCAACCCAGCCGTAAATCTATTGATTTACAGTCGGGCAAGTCTTCCATGCTTCCTGAATCACAGACGCCAGGCGATGGTTCAAATTCCGATTCAAATCGTGGCGAACCTACATTAGCCCCGATGGCTGATGCCCAAAACCCGCCTTATCCTTTCTCTGCCAATTATTCGCTTCCTGCAAGCGACTCTACACCGGCCTTTGCTCCCAGCTCTTCTGCTTTCCTGCCACATGCTGCCGCTCACTCCCCTTCATTCCCTGCGCGGTCCCCATCTCCAGGTCATCAAGGGCTTGATGCTTCTCTCTTTAGCTCTCCACGGTTCAATAGGGACCCTGATGACGGGCCACCAGGGGTCGATGTCGATAATGAAAATCCCTTTGACAGCAGTCCTCGGCAGAACCTTGACGATGTCTTCGCAGATTTGACAAATCAAGATGCAGAGCCTGAGCCGGGCCCAGCGCAAGAACCAGAGCTCATGGAGAACACACATGCTAATGAGGCTCTGGAAGTACTTGATGCGAGCAATGGGGATCGTTCTGAAACTCCGCAGGACGAAGAGCCACGGGACGATAAGTCTAGTGCGGAAGTCAATGGCTTAGCTGAGGCCGATCGCAGTACAGAGGACCTATAACACTGTTTCCGAGATTAATCCCTTATGGGTTCTTCCAGTTTTTTGCTTTGAGCATTCATGACAACGATGCGACTATAACGATATCTACTAAAACGAGTTTGATCGAAAGACTGCGTTTGATCCATGGTTTTCCGCATGATCCGACATTCCAGGGCGTTGCCTTTACAAGTCTCCAGGGAGGCTTACTTTTGTGTTCTTGATGTAAAGATATTATGGTATTGATGTTCCCGAGACGCACTCAATTCGTACGTGCTTTCCTTGTCAGCTGGTTTTGACAATCATTTTATTTGTTGCGACTCAGCGGTCTGTTCCTTCTTCCTCTCTTTCTCGCTCTTTCTTCGCCATGGCTTTTACGTCTGCTTACATGGACCGGGTGTATCAAAAAAATGTGGGGTGTCTGGGGAGCTGGCAATTTCTCAACGCGCGCGTGGTCTTTTTTCTTCCCCTTTATTTTGTTTTCTATTTCATTTTATTTTACTCTTTTTTCCTTCTTTGCTTCGATTGATTTTTGCATCGTTTTATATCTACATGGGTGAGCCTACAGTGATAGCCTATGACCTGTTATCTGATTCCATCACTCAGACCTTTATAGGGTCAAACAAGCCCGTCTCTGTGCGCTGGTATCGTCGAGTGGTATGCTCATGTCTACTTGATTCCTCGTGTCTTTGCTTTGTTTCGCCCTGTGCCCCGTGTAATACTAGTCAGACTACCGTTATTCTGTACCTTTAATGAATAGACATTAGTTTACTTAAACTGACATTCTCGCCTTTGTCACGTCACTCTATGTCTGCATACGCACTTAGGGCCGACTGCCCCCCGGTATGGATAAACAGCGCATTGACTCGATTTTCGCTGGGCGAGGTCCCTAGGCGGCGTGACCAGTCTCTGGTGAGTTCGCCCTCCTGTACCCAGTGCATGACGCCTCTCATGACCTTGACGGTGTACACGGGATCAACGATAACTCCTTCTTCCTGCGCTATCAAAGCCAAGATCTCCTTGGACGTCGGGTCCAGCTCTCCGTAGGCTGTGCCAGCAAACCGATCGTCTAAATGAACATCTTCCGGTGTGACGTCCCGCTCAGGGTCCAGTCCAATGAGGTGTGCCGCACGCAGGGCAAAGTTGAGCACTCGACCTTCATGATATTCTCGCGGCTTGGTAGGGGAATTCAAGATCCCGATGACCTTACGACCTATAACCCTCTCTGCATTTTCATCCTGTCGTGTCTGTGCCTCAAGCTTTTGCAGTAATCTGAATCCCGCAATCAAGCCTCCCACGGTACTTCCACTCCCACATGCAACAAATATATAGTCGAATCGGCCATTTTCTCCCAATTGCTCCTTTTCCTGCGCCGCAATTTCAAAAGCGCACCGCGCATAGCCCAGCCCACCTAAGGGATGTAAACTAGCCCCCGAAGGAATCCAGTAGGGGACCTTTCCCTGAGCACGCAATTCCTCCAGAATAGGCGTGATTGGATCCCCTTCATCCACCGTCGAACTATCCTCAAGCATCCGCACCTCCGCACCTAAAAGCCGGGCAATTTGCACGTTACCTGTGCGTAGAAAAGCATTCTTATCTGAACTAGCAGTTAAACCACCCCCCGTAGCTTTATGGAGGATAACAATTGCTTCGAGGCCGAGGCGTCGTGCTACCGAGGCGACTTGCACTGTATGATTGCTTTGGATAGCACCCTCGGTCACCAGGGTGGTGGTAGCCTTTGCTTCTGACCTTGCTCCGAGTACATGCAGACTTGAATTAGCTAGGATGTCAGGGACGATGTACTCGAGTTTGCGGTACTTGTTGCCTGCACAGGCGAGTGGGGAGGAGTGGTCTTCGCGCTTGGCGAAGAGGGAGACTGCGGGGGCGGCTTTGGGGTTGTGATTGAGATGTCTGGTTAGTGCTGGGAGAGGGTGGATTGGAGATGGGGAGGGATATAGCAGAGGATATCTGGGGAGCTTCGAAAAGGTTTCTGGGAGAGAAAACGACATGTTGGTTGATGAGCTGGTTTGTTGATTTGGAGAGATGTGAGGTAATGGGAGAAGTATATATCGGGCAACAGAGTCAAGATATGCTATATCAGAGTGGAATTCATGGCCGGTATCAACAACTGGGTCCCATAACTCAGTCGGTTAGAGTGCTGAGCTAATAACTCAGAAGTCGAGAGTTCGAGCCTCTCTGGGACCATTTCTTTTTGCTCTCATCATATTTAATAATCCAATATCCAATATTGGAGCGAAAACTGTTCATTCCCTTTTACTTTTTACTTTTTTTTTTTTTTTTTTTCAGTCGATTGTATAGATTGTTGTGACGAATGATCAGCGGTAATATTCTGCCCACTTGTACATATATATTTTTCTTATCGCTTATCACCATCAACAACGTCACCCACCGTCAACACCGCGGGCAATAACAAAACACAAACCCACGCAATGGCCAATAATTCCGAACACACTCTTTTCCGGTTCTTAAAATCCGCCCTGCAGACACATCGCCGGTTTCTCTCCGGCGCATTGACACGCGCAGAAGCACCCGTATACGTCATCGGTAATCCCTCCGCGGACCTCGACTCTATTATCTCCGCGATAACCTACTCATACTTCGCCAACAACACTGACCGGCACCATGTTCCCTTGATAAACCTACCGAATGTTCCATCGGGCTCTGAACTGCGCCGATTGCGACCGGAGTTCGTCAAAGCTTTATGGTTGTCCACTCATCCCCCGGCGCGAGATGAACAACCATGGGAGGAGACATCCGAATCCGCCGGGGCGATCCTCCACGACCATATCCTCACCGTGGCAGATTTCAATACACACTTAAAAGAGAATGGAAAGGTTGATGGAGAATACCAGATAAATGCCGACGCAGTTCTTGTAGACTGGAATGCGCTGCCGAACGGCACACTGGACGGACGGAAAGGAAAAGGTAGTTTAGACGGGCTACCGACGGTTGAGTTCAATGTGATAGGTTGCATTGACCATCACCAAGACGATGGATTCCTTCGACCCGATATCGAACCGAAAGTCATTGAGAAGAGCGGATCATGCACGTCGCTTGTTATACACACGCTGAACAAGAGGGGAAGGTGGTCGGAGGGAAGAGCAAAAGAAGCCCAAGCCCCACGGATGGCGGCTGAGGAGCAAGTAGCCTCACTTGCCGTAACCCCAATTCTGATTGATACCGCCAATCTCACAGCCAAAGACAAAGTAACCCAATTTGACACCCGAGCCGTGGATTTCCTGACCCCCAAATTCAACAAGGAGACAACCGACAAAGATAAGCTCTATGCGCAAGTCCTCGAGGCAAAGCAAAACAGCCTGGATCTTCTGACGGTCGATGAGATCCTGGATCGCGACTATAAGCAATGGGTCGAGACGTCTTCCCGCGAACCAGGGACACCCCTCAATATCGGCTTCTGCTCTATGGTCAGGTCGATTCCGTGGGTTGTTCGGAAGGCAGGGTCCCCGCAAGAGTTCCTGGATGCAGTGTACGAGTTTGCCGCGAAACGGGAACTGGGCATTGTCGTTGTCATGGCGGCGTTTAGTTCGAATGATGACAAGTTTCATAGGGAGTTGTTTGTGTGTGCGCTTGACGAGGGCCTTGCAGTTGATGCGCTGAAGAATTTTGTTAAGCAGTCCAGCTCGCAGTTGGGTCTCGAGGAGTGGTCTTCTCTCGATGGTGACGGGGAGGCTCTGTCGAAGGCTATTCATAACTCTCTTAACAGCGACGGTACCCATAAGTGGAGGCATATCTGGACAGCAACGGATATTACGAAGAGCAGGAAGCAGGTTGCGCCGATGATGCGGGAAGCTGTGACCTCTCTGAGATAGAGACTAATTGGATAGACATTTAATTCTAAGAAGTACATTATCATTTTTTCTCATCGGACATACCAGCGTTACAAATACATCTATTCCACGCAATGAACTGAGAAGACATTCGCACCGACGCCTCTCCAAGTCTAGGTAAACAGCGTCCGAATCTAACCGCTAAGCGTGTTGTCCAACCATTCAACATGCCCCATTCACCAAGATAATGTGCAAAAAGAGAACCAAAAAAAAAAAAAAAAAAAGAAGAAGGAAAGTAAGTAGAATGGATAATCACACGTTGAACACCGGCTCCATAGACTTGAGAATATACCTGATAACTCCATATATGTCATAACCTGAATCCATGATGCTGCCCGTCTAGGGTAAGCCCGACCAAACCAAATGAACATTTCTTGATGCAACTATGCAGGACCCCAACCCCGACTCAGATAATGCAATGCATGCAACCGTTAAGCAAGGAGCGTAATCGGTAAGGAAAAAGAATATATCAAAGGAAAAATTGGACCAGTTTGGTCTCTATTGTTGAGGATCATCTGGAGAAAAACATCGGGCCTGGGAGAAGCAAGGTCAAGATATCGTGAGTATTTCGTGAACGCGACTGGTAAACGAGATTTAGTCGGGAATGTTCTAGATTCTAAAAACATTCCCATTCACAGAAGACACACCACCGGGCGACGCGATCCGCGAGGACCAAGCCTCTCCAGGTACCCCGTTCCCCGATCTTAATGACCGTTTCCCAGACACTACCGTCAGCTGTAGCATCGGTGCCCGATTCGGCATTGGAGTTGGCACTGATCATGTGGTCGGCTTTTCGAGTCAACCGTAGGATCTTGTTTGATGGCGATTGTATCGCTAATTTGGCCGGTTTCTCGCGCCCGGAGGCCGACCGACCCGATGAGATAGCTGACGTCGACGCGGAGAATTCATTCGAGACGGTAGACACGGAGGACCCACCAGCAGAGCTGGAGACCATGCTAAGTGCACTGGCGGGTCGAGAGAACACAGATGGAGAGATTCGCCCACTGACACCTGCTTCATTGCTCATTGACGAAGATGACGGGGAGGAAGGATGTTGTCGTACGGCGAAGACGAAGGTATTGTTGACTGCAAGCCTTGCGCACTGGGGCTGCATGATATACAAATCGTGGCGCTGGGCATGAGGAGTTGGATGACGGAGCACGAAATCATATGGTGGATTCTCCCCAGCATGAATAATTGGGAGCGTGAGAGCTAGAGGATGCGGAATATCCCGGCTGGAGTGCATCAGCCCTTTCTTTCCCGCATACACCTTGAGCGTGCCCTGTCCTTCGTCGCCTGGTAAAATGGCTTTGACAGTGATACGCTTTTGACCGTTGACCCAGTCGGGCTGGACCAGGGCACGCTTGCGTACCACCTCTCCACTTTCAAAGAAGTCACCATCTGCGTCCCGGGCGAAAGCGGGAGCTTCGATTTCGGCGGCACACTCTACATCTGGAGGTACGAAGAGACGGATTTGTAAGACTTCCAGACCTTCAATTCGGACAACACTGGTATCGTAATCAGGAAACTGCAGGCCCATCTTGAAATATGTTGGGCAAGTAGTAGGCAGAGCAAGAAGCACGTCGGGGGAAATAGGAGGGCAGATGTGTTGTTCTTCATGAGAAAGAGGTACATGTGTATAACAAATCTCCAGAGGACGGGCGAGGAAATACCAACTTTCTGCCGACGAAGGGTTGTTGGTAACGAACTGGCTCCTCCGCGGGTTGGTTGGGCTTGCTAACGAACAGTCCATGATGCGCCATTCACCATCAACCAGTACGGCATTCCACCAATGATTGGCTCGGGATAGGCTGTCCAAGTCAAATAATTCACCAGGAGACTTGAGATACCCTTTTATTGCGTCGGCATGCAAGCCAACCGCGGCACACATTTCTCTAACGAGGAATGCAACTTCCTGAGGACTTCCCCTTTTTGTCTGTAGTACCCGTTTGAGATCCATTCCGACTTCTTCAACAGGCTCATCCCAAGCAATCTTCTCACTGACCCAAGTGAAGATGGCGCGAAGCCTTTGAACATCACTCTTGTAAGGCCGACAGACATACCCTTGCGCGAGACTCATAGGGTTGGTCATTGGGGGAAGGCTGTTAACGAATCGAGCACTCTTGTCGACAAGGGATAAATTGACAGAGCCAAAGTTGGTAGGCTCACTGATTGGTAGACCATCAATGCTTTCATCACCTTCAGCAGTCTCATAGAGCTCTTCCACCGCGTAGATAACTGGATAATCCATCATGTGGCACCGCTCAACTCTCTCCATTCTTTCGTTTCGGCTGGGAGAGCTTGCTCGGTTCACATCGCGCCGCACTTGGACCCAATCAATACCATTACTGCCGAGTCCCATCTCCCGAGCAGTATCACGGTGGGAGTGTGAAGAGCGGATTGGAGAAATCGCTCTACCCTTCGTAGGTGAATAGGACCCGCCATTTTGCCCAACTGCAATGCTGCTTCTGGCATTAGCGGCACCGGTTTTTGCAGATTCAAAGATCTTTTTGAAAAACCCTTGTTTTTTGGCTTTGGGGGTGGAAAGGCCTCCGAATACTCCGGCAGACTCTTCGGGTCCGGTGCCCGAAGGTGACCAGGGAATGGCTGATGAAGCGCCCTGTCGAGAGGTATTATGACTCGAATGGTATGATACTCCGGTTAGGGGGGTTTCGGGTCGCGGAACTCTTGATACATCACTGAAGCCTCTTGTGCGGAAAGTGTCTAGTGCGGTATTGGGTCGCTCATTTGCTCCGATCCCCCTCCGGGCATAACTACCTGCGCTGGTCGCACTAAATCCGCCGGCTGATGGACCACTCATAAGGCTCTGACTGGTTCGTTCGGTGCTCGTTGTGATGTTGGTACCGTTACTCTGCACGCCACTCGAAGAATTTGTAGTACTCGACTTATTAGTGTAGCTCCGGTTGAGCATTTCCGCTCTCATGTCCTGCCCAGAACGGCGGTTCTTTAGATAGGGGTACTGAGCCGGAATGGAATTGTGTCTTCCGTGGTAAGGAACATTTCGGGGAGGTGGCGGAGGAGGTTCCTCATCATCCTCTGGCATTTGTACATCTTCAGACCCTCTTCGGCTTTGCTCCTGCATTTGACGAAGCCGGCTTTCCATCCTTTGCACATAGTTGTTTATTTGTGGAGGTCCGTCGAGGAAGTGGTCCTGTGCGTATACGCTGCTCCTATTCGGCTGGCCACCATGATATTGATACTCCTTCTCACCATCAAATCCCAATGAGGTTAATGGGCGACTCATGACCTGCAAAGATCGACTGTCCCGCAGATTGTCATAAGCATCCGGTGACCATGGGTTGTCAAACATCGGCTGAGGAGATGGCGAATGAGTCTCTCGGAACATGCCCATATCCTCTAAAGATGTCATGACGTCTTCCATTGCATCTCGCAGGGGAGAGGGTGTATGTCCGTTCACATCTGAATGTGCCGCTGGAGAGGGGGTCCTCGGCATCGTCACATAACGGTCGTTCATGTCGTAGCGAGTCGGGACACCTATTTCTATGGACGGTTGACGATTGACAGCGACTCTGTGTGGGGGAGGAGGTGGTGGCGGCGGCGACTCTTCACGTTCCTGAAGCTGCAGTGGAGAGATTTCGCGGGATGTTGGCCGGGACAAAGATACGTTGTGTCTAGGTACTGAAGGTGGTATCATATCAGACTCGTCTAGAGGCCGAGGAGACGCAGCACGAGAGGGAGGCCTATAAATCACGAGATCCTGCCCAGTGGGGACTGTGGGGGGCAGTATATCGGCTTCCAGTGGGCGGGGGGAGACTGCTCGCGACGGAGGCCTAGGTCGGGAGACTGTCTGATTTGAGGTGATGGGGGTGGAAATTGACGGAAGATCGGGTTCTTGTGGGGGACGAGGCGATATCGCACGTGAAGGTGGCCTGGATCGTGAGGGTCTAGCAGTAGGAGTTGATTGCCTCACCGAGCTTGCGGGGGTGCGCAGAGCCTTGACTTTCCGGGGATGACTGCCATCACGAGGTGGTGTTTGCGGGATTGAACTCTTGACTAGGGATGTTGAAGTCCCATTCCTCGAGAGCTCGCCCGAGGGCGCAAGCGCTTCTTTATGTGCCTGGAAAGGCTTCCTAAACACTGTTTTTTGTTTTTTAGGAGCTGAAGTAGGATTTGTAATCGGCGATTGAGCTGCTTGAATCACAGGACCGGTTGTTGTCCGACTGACTGGAACAAAATCCTCCCCTAGGACCTCGACGAAGTTGGATGGAAACAGCCCCACCATGCGCCTATCTCGTCGTAACCGACCCATCCACCACTGGCCATCTCCCGCATTGAGGCATTCGATCAGATCCCCCTCCACAAATCCCAGATCACGCTTGGTTTCCCCGCCCCACGAATAGACAGCTCGACACCAGCATGGGAACCGGGAGGGCAACTGAGGTGCGCTTGGGGTCATAGCGGGTGAGTATGAGCGAGGAGAGAGAAGGTGGCGTTAGTCGGAGATAAAGCACCGGATTCACTAAGTGTTAGGAACAATGAGTTGCGCAATCAATCAATCAAAAGAGTGCGCCAAGGTGGTTGAGCCAATTTTGGGATAGGGTATAGTAAGGAAGGTCCCCAGTGGCGCAGTGTTGTCAAATGAAAGGCAGTTATGAAAGGACTAGGACCCGTGCAACGGAGGGAACAGGAACATGATAGGAATGAGAATAGAAACGATAATCGGACAATAATGGAGAGAAAAAAAAAACCGATAAGATTAAAAAGAGGCAATCATTACCTGCCCATATCAGTTCACATGGAAGGCAAAACTAAATGTCCGACGATAAAGTGAAAAGAAGCAGCAAGTCGTGCAAGGGTCCGAAGCGAAGGAGGAGTGACGGAGGGAGAGAGCGAGAGCTGAAGTCACGGTGAGGCCCGAATTGTTTTGGTGTTTACGTGGGCGCCCGTTTGGGACTAGTCGCCGGGCTTATCGATAAGCTTAATGCGCACTGTCCCCCGTGATCAATCAAGATCCTTGATTATACTAAAACTCTTTTCCAACATGTCTTTTTTCTTTTTCTTTTTCTTTTTTTTACTTTTCCTACTTCAATAACTATAGAAGTGCTTAGTCTTGACCAATGTAAGGGAGACCGTCTAGAGGGGCCTTTTTTTGATTTTCTTAGACTATCTAGATCTAGCGTATTGTTTGAATGAGAGAGACCCTGAAGGCTGAAACTCCCCCCTTCTCTTCAGGCGATCCATGGTTTATCCTCTCCACTACCCGCGTAGCAACCCATGGACAGCGTGCGGTTGAATTTCCAATCATATTCTATTTTGATAGACTTATTATCTGTATATGCATAAGAAACTGTAACAACAAAAAAGCCCGCAAGGACCTCAGAAGCGATTTGTTGCAAGGGTCAATCTTTTGATTCATTTACATTATGATTGTGAGACACTGGGGGTGAAATCCCTCTCTATCCTTGACTCTAAGGTTTCGACAGTCCTTTGCCTCGATTCGAACAATGCTGGATTCCAAACTCGAAAGTAGTATTCGTAGTTGACTTGTGTAGCTTCACGCCTCACTGGCTATGAGCCAATCTGAGAAGATTGCGTCTATGGACAACGAAGGAAAGGGAAACATAGAAAAGCCCTAATATGCGGCTGGTCTCTACTTTCCCACACGGGGACGATGGTCTCGGGTTCATTGACATTCCAGTCATCCTCCCTTGAACATGTAGAATTTTCTCCCTTGCTTTGCTGCACCAAAAACAGTAACAGGTACACACCACTTCGTCTTCCTGTAGGTGACAACTACTCCATATATGCCTGTGGCTTAGCTGCTTCAAATAGTTTGACACATGTATTGTGAACGGAGCAATTCCCCCAGGCAAAGGGTGCATTCTGCAATACAATGCAGGTAGTAATGCAATCGTCTACGATGTAGGAATTTGACAGTCTTGACATGTTATTATTTTTTTTTTCCCGTCCACCGGAGGGGGGGAGGTGGTTGGGGTGTATTCAATCAATTTGATAATCGGCACATGTTTGTATTTAATCAATCATCATAGACTTTCTGCAATCACCACAAAAAAAAAAAAAAACCACTACTACTATAAGGAGATAGAAAAATAAAACAAACAAACAAACAAACAAACAAAGAGGATAAATAACCTTCATAGTTATCATTGTCTCATTCTATTGATATTGAATCTCGTATTATCGTATGGGTCCCGCAACTCAATTCCAGAACTAGTTCAACTTAAAGAATGCCCGTTCTCAGATTGTTAATAATGTTTCCTACGCTTCCGGCCGACATAGCATTTCATGCACATACTTGATTCTTGGCTAATATGAGACGTGTTTATATAAGATGCTCGGAAAAGTATTTCAAATGGGACAATATGTTTCTCAAGACGTCTTTCTATCTACTAATTAACTATCTTATGTGTCACTAGAGTGCGCTGCAAAAATGGCGCCTTTGAAATCCCTTGTGGCCTTGCTCAGTGCCAATGTGCTTCCTTCAGTATTGGCAGAGCTTGTGAAATTCGAAGTGGATCTGACTTGGGCGAAAGGAGCTCCAGATGGCAACCTTCGAGATATGATCTTCGTGAATGACCAATTCCCCGCCCCTCAGTTGACACTGAACCAATACGATGATGTTGAGGTACGTCTTCAGATAGATAGATATATATATATCCTTTCGTCATTGTTCGCCACATATTTCTATTTACTAATCTTTTATAGTTCACGGTGCATAATCAGATGCCCTTCAATGCTACCGTTCATTTTCATGGGATAGAGTATGTACAGCACTGCGACCATTTCTTCTAATGCTCAGCCTTGAGCCTGGTTACTCAATGACGGGACTCTAATTGTGTACAGGCAACTAAACACCCCGTGGTCGGATGGCGTTCCTGGATTGACGCAGAAGCCTATTTTACCTGGAGGGTCATTTACCTACCGATGGACTGCCACAGAATATGGTACATATTGGTATCATGCCCACGCCAGATCCCTGATGGCGGACGGTCTCTATGGAGCTATTTGGATCAAGTGTGTACTGAGATGACCTCAAATATATGCAAAAGCTGACATGATAAGCCCCGCTCCCGAGGTCCCACAGCCGTTTCACTTGATATCCGATGATGAAAAGGATATTGCAGCCATGCAAAAAGCAGAGAGTGACCCGAAGCTTGTCATTTTATCGGACTGGTCACATTATACTTCAGAGGAATACCAAACAATCATGGAGGAGAGTGGGGTAGATCTTTTGTACGGACCCCGTTACTAGAGCAAATAGGTCATTTTACTGACAATAGTCCATCAGCTGTGTTGACAGTATTCTGATTAACGGGCGAGGGCGCGTGCATTGTCCTGGAGCCGATTTTATCAACAGCCTCCAAACGGACTATTTGAAAGCCTCCATTGATAATCTGCCTCTAACAGATAGAGGGTATGTTTTTCTCCCCAACAAAAGCCGATATCTCTCTAATGAACAATTGAAAGGTGCTATCCCAAAATCTACAAGACCCAAGGAAGTTTCCCCCGAAACGATTCAAAGGTTCCACCTGGGCTAGAGTCAGGCTGCGTCGCCACAGCTGGGACTCATGAAGTAATTGAAGTTGATCCAAAGGACGGATGGGTCAGTATGAAATTTATCAGTGCCGCATGGCTTAAAGCTTTTATCGCATCTATCGACGAGCACCCTATGTGGATCTACGAAGTTGACGGCCATTACATTGAGCCTCAACTCGCACACACTATGGTGATGTACAATGGCGAGCGCTACTCTGCAATGGTTAAACTCGACAAGACCCCGAAAGACTATACGATTAGGATCCCCGACACAAATGCTGATCAAATCATCGCGGGCTTTGCCACTATGAGATACAAGGGTAGTAATCAAACTGGAGAATCCGAGCCCTATGTCGATTATGGCGGGTTAAACACAACCGCTGACGTGATCGCCTTAAACGAGAGTCTGTTGATACCGTACCCCAGCATCCAGCTTCCGACAACTGCCGACCAGCTGATCAACCTCACCTTTGGTCGGCGAGAGTCGGCATATCAGTGGACACTTGAAGGGAAGCAGCTGTATGACGTTATGGCCAACTACGACGATCCGATCCTCTACAATCTAACCGCGAAGGAGAACTTGGGCGATAAAGTTACCGTTCAAACTCAGAATGGAACCTGGGTTGATGTTTTGCTTCAGGTTGGTATAATGCCGGACACCCCACCTATTCAGGCGCCCCATATCATTCACAAGCACTCGAACAAAGCCTTCATCGTCGGGGAAGGCGATGGGTTCTTCAACTGGACGAGTGTCGCCGAGGCAGCCACGGAGAGACCGGAGCTCTTCGAATTTGAGCGACCGCGGTTGCGAGATACTTTTATGGTACTGGGTCTTCTTGGTCCCAGATGGATGGTCATTCGATACCAAGTGGTTAACCCGGGTCCTTTCCTCATCCATTGCCATATTGAAACACATCTAGCCAATGGTATGGGGGTTGCTTTACTTGATGGCGTCGACGAATGGCCAGAGGTTCCACCGGAATATGCTCTTTGATCTTTTTTCCTTCCAGATCGAGGCTTGTCATATATGACTAATCACCTTCGGGGTTTGCCTCTGTATATAATACGTAATTTTACTTAATATCTGATTGT